TTAGCGCAAACTGGTCTATAGAAAGGAGGACCTTCTAACTCCCTATACTTGCTGCTGTTATGCATCAAGAATTAATGTAGCCTGGACATAAAGCTGTTGCGCCCTCAACTGCTCCAAAGTTACTAAGTAGGATTCACCCCAAAACAATATGGCTGATATCTGACTTTTGCAGCCTTGCTAAGAACTCAACCCTTCCTTTCATGGGCTACTGGTTCAGTACATGGTTTCAGACCAAATTGTACATGTATGTGAAAACACGTACGTGTAACTACAGTGTATACACATAAGTGACGTATACCATAATGCATTTAACTAACCTGAACGTTCTCCTTTCTGCTTACATCACATGTGGTCGCTTCAAACAGAATGTGGCTCCCTTTGCCTACATTTTGAGGCCTTTCCAGTAGCTTTGGTCTGTCTTCGGGTGGTGCAACTTCAAGTCCTTGGAGAGTGATGGCATTATCAGACTAGAAAAGAGAAGGAGATAGAGCATGTATAATTTAAGTTTACCAACCTGGCTTCCTTACCACATATTGATGATTCTCTAGCAGCTTTGGTCCGCTGTCGGGTGGTGAAACTTCATCAAGTCCTTGGTGAGTGATGGCATTTTCAGACTAGAAAAGAAAAGGAGATAGAGCGTGCGTGATCCATGTTTGCCAGCCTTCCTTACCTCCAGCAGCTTTGGTCCGCCGTCGGGTGGTGAAACTTCATCAAGTCCTTGGTGAGTGATGGCATTTTCAGACTAGAAAAGAGGAGATAGAGCGTGTGTAATTCATGTTTGCCAGCCTTCCTTACCACATATTGATGATTCTCCAGCAGCTTTGGTCTGCCGTCGGGTGGTGCAACTTCATCAAGTCCTTGGTGAGTGATGGCATTTTCAGACTAGAAAAGAAAAGGAGATAGAGCGTGCGTGATCCATGTTTGCCAGCCTTCCTTACCTCCAGCAGCTTTGGTCCGCCGTCGGGTGGTGAAACTTCATCAAGTCCTTGGTGAGTGATGGCATTTTCAGACTAGAAAAGAGGAGATAGAGCGTGTGTAATTCATGTTTGCCAGCCTTCCTTACCACATATTGATGATTCTCCAGCAGCTTTGGTCTGCCGTCGGGTGGTGCAACTTCATCAAGTCCTTGGTGAGTGATGGCATTTTCAGACTAGAAAAGAGAAGGAGATCGAGCGTGTGTGATCCATGTTTGCCAGTCTTCCTTACCACATATTGATGATTCTCCAACAGCATTGGTCTGCCGTCGGGTGGTCCCTCTTTATTACTAGCAGCAGTAGCAGCTGGTCCATAGGTGACAGCCTTTTCAGATCTCTAGGAAGAAGAGCAGAAGACAGAGCGCTTGGGGTCACGTACGTTTGCCAGCCTTTCTTACCAGGTCTTGAGTCATTTCCGAATACAGCAAACTCAGAAAGCTTTTGCGTTAACAACGCCAGGTTTTATAGTAGTTTCCAATCATAACATGATTAACATCTGCATTCCAGTTTCATGACTTGTCAGTCTTGTCTTGTATATATATACATAATGCAATTGTGACCATAATTGACAAAAGGGCCCTTATGGCGGATTTTAAAATTGATAGTTATAATGGAAAATATCAACCTGTGAGTGCTTTGTTAGACAATCATTGTTTCTAAAAGTTTCATGGTAACTTTTTGCATCCTGTGGAGTAATTTTATGATAACTGGGGCTCAGGAAGTTGGATTTCTTAGGCTAGAAAGACAAATTTCACTACCCGCCATAAGGTACCTTTTGTCAATTATGGTCACAATTTACATAGAATTCTCTTCTGAAGCTGATACATATTAAAAGTACATGCACATTACAAATCATAATCTAAACAGATAGAGCCCTGTAGTAAAGAAACAAAATAGACAACATCTGCATGTAGTTGGCCACTCAACAAAGATCTTTGTTAAGTGGCCAACTACATGCAATTTATCTTAGTGTGGAAGTGTATAAAATATATTTTTCAAAAAATTATATTTTTACTATAAATTTTAGACAAAACAAAATAAATTTAATAATTATGTACATAATATAAAGTCTTTATATCTTTTTTATAGGGTGAAATACACCAGATGATAACTATAATAAAGACTTATTAGAGGTGTTTTAGGCAAAGTAGAACAATATTATGTTAAAAAAGAATATCCAATGCGTGGAGCGCCTCATTATCACATCCTTCTATGGATTCAAAATGCTCCTGTTGTCGGTATCGATTGTCCAGAAGAAGTCTGTTCTTTCATACAAGATAGGATTACCTGTCATATACCAGATAGTAATACGTCGCCTGATTTAAATTTTTTGGTAACAAAATACCAAATGCACAAGTGCAGCAAATATTGCAAACGAAATATTAAAGTCGGCAAGACCTATGTATCTAGATGCCGATTTGATTTTCCTAGACCAGTACGAGATAGTATTTGCATCAATCATGTTGAAAATAGCTTGAAATCATGCAATAAAAAATATTTCAAACGTAATGAAAAAAATGGTCGAGTCAATGACTACAATCCTTCACTGTTGAAATTGTGGTGTGTCAATATGGACTTGCAATACACAGCTGAGAAGAGTCTTTCCTTAACAGTATGTAACTGGATATGTCACTAAAGCAGAAGAGTCATGCACAGGACTAATGGGATAAATTCAGCAGCTGTGACGACATATACAGCTGGCTTTGGAAAAACGGACAAAAATTACTTCAAGCTAAAGAAGTAGGACCATATGAAGCTAGCGATCTTCTTCTCGGTGAAAGTTTATGCATGAAATCAGTAACCGTACAGTACGGTAATGTGTACTTGTCTCAAAAGAGGAGCAGAAAAATCAAAAACTATTCATATTTAACTAAAATGGATCAATCTTCTAAAGACATTTTTAATCCTAGCATAATTGAAGACTATTATCCAACAAGACCAAATAAAATGGAAGATGTATCTTTTTATGAATTTGTTGCTAATTACAAATTTGATAAAATAGGAGAAAATGGAGAAAGAGAATACAAACTTCAATCAAAGCCAGTCCTTCCAAACCATAGGAAATTTAATCCTATGCAAGAAGCGGAAAGAAACGATTTTTATTACTCGCTAATATTTTTATTTGTGCCTTTTAGAGATGAGAGCACACTCGTAATGGAAGGAGAAACAATGGAAGAAGCTTTTAGGCGTCACAGAGAAGCATCTATATGTGGCATTGAAAATCATTTCAACAAACTACAGAAATTATTAGAAGCTGAACGTAATTGGAAGAAAATAGTCGATGCAAGAAATAAAGCCAGTTTTACTGAAGAACTTCCTGATAACAAGGAAGATGATGAGCCTCAATTACTAGGTGAAATAATGGAAGCAGTAGCTGATGTTGCTGACATGCATATAATTATACCTAATTTAAAATTAGAGCAAAGAGAGGCAATGCTTAATGTAGATCAAAAAAGAAGTTTTGATAAAATTAACAGTTATCTTATAAGTCAAAAAGAACATGAAGACTTATTAGAAAATCAGTTTCAAGACTACTTAGATTAGGTAGTATCTAACCACTAAGGATGTTTATTATTGGTGTAGATGGAACTGGTAAATCGTTTTTAATAGAGGCATTAAAATGCCTAGTTGATGACACATGGCATCCAAAAAGTGGTGAAATTATGTGTGCTATAGTAGCACCAACAGGTATAGCCGCATTTAATGTAGGCAGACTAACAATACATAGGTTATTTCAGCTACCAATAGAGCATGACGGAAAGACAGCTGGATATTGGGCTTTGAGTAAAGAACCTCAGAAAAGAATAAAAATGACACTTAAAAATTTAAAAATTATAATAGTAGACGAGCTATCTATGGTATCCAATCTAAATCTAGCATACACATGCGCTTAGAAGATATATTTGGAACTGATGAATGGTTTGGATCCAAAAATATTTTATTTGTAGGTGACCTCTTACAATTGCCACCAGTTAATGGTAGACCAGTATTTAAAAAAATTAGCAACAAACTAGTAAAAACTAGACTTGGAGTAGCATGTGCAATTAACATATGGAAAGAAACAGTAGAATATGATGAACTAACAATCAATGAGCGACAAAATGGAGACGAAACTTTCTTTAAGATGCTTGATTCTGTTAGGCATGGTTGTCTGACTGATGAAACTATTGATATGCTTAAGTGTCGCGTATTTAAGGTTTTAATACAAGAAAAATGTAAGGAATTGGAAAGTGAAGGAACAAATCTTTCAGTTTGCTTATTTTCTAAGGTTGACGCCTGGTTGAGTTCAACAATAATAAAAATTAATAGTTAAATTAAAATTAATAAAAATTAATTAATACAAAAATAATTTATTCATAAAGATAATCCAAAAATTTGAAACCCTACTTTGCAGAAAATGATAGGCAGACTACAATATAAATAGAATTTAAATAATAATTATGCCTCTGCACCTATTGATTGCTTTACTACATTACTATGATGTAAATTTTCTTGATAAATATAAATAAGACTTTCGAGGCTTCAGCTAGTATTGATTGAATAAATTAATGTCATCACAATTAAAAAATCTAAATTATTGATAATTATTTGGCTATTGCATTCCTTAATTTTTATGATTCAGTACAATATCAAAAAATTAAAATATTAATGTATGTTTTTTTTAGGAATTGTAATTGGACTCGCGACACTTGTGTAGGCTGGAACTAAGCAGTTTGGTTATCATTCTTTCACTAAAATTGTTGTTCTAAAGGAGCAACACCTTCATAAAATTCTGCAAAGTAGGGTTTGAAATTTTTGTATTATTTCTATGAATAAATTATTTTTGTATTAATTAACTTTTATTATTATTAATTGAACTATTAATTGTTATTATGGTCGAACTCAATCCCCTTGTTTCTTTCATTTTTTGACAAAACTACTTTTTTATTATCTAATAGAAATTTTTTTTAGTTACTTGTTATTATTGTCACCTCAGCCTAATACAAAACATAATTATGATGATGGAAGAAGTGATGACTTACAGTAGATCTACAAGCTACCATCTGATTGTTATGTACGTCAGGAGTATTATTACTATCAGTAACAGGAGGTACAGTCTAATATAGTGGTATACATAGCATAATAATGATAATGATAATTATCTTTAAAATGTTTTGCATTATGAGTTACCATCTGATTGTTGACTGTATCAAGAGTGTTATTACTGTCAACTATAGGAAGTAGAGCCTAATATTGTGTAAATAGCATTATAATGACAATGATGGCTTACAGAACAATTCACCAAATGGTTGTTGTCATAATTAAAGCTCTGGCATACAGGAATAAATGGAGCCTAAATAAAAATTAGAATTTGATGCACAAATGGAATATGTGCTAACTCTTAAAATCTGAGATGGATGTGAAGCATCACACAGGTACTGTCCATTACCAATTGCACAAGTACTAGTTTTTTTTTGACTTACTGGTCTGTGATATCACAAATCGCTTGCCGAGGTATGCAAACATGCACATATAATGTACATACTATTATAGTTTATACGTACTTATACATTTATACATGCATACATACATACACATACATACAATGCATTTATGAATGGCATATACTTTATACGACTTGATGGAATCATGTCAGTCAAATCATCACAAGGAAGAAATTCAGTTTCAAAATCAGTCCATACGTCATATCACATGATCCATGGAATTATTGTAACAAAAAAAAGCTATAGTAACTCAAGCAATTGCCACTGCACATGGAACCACATTGTGCCCTACAATAATTATAATGGAAAAAGAAGCTAAATAAATTAATTTACCTGTTATATACATGTACCTGTAAATAGTATTGAGATGTAATTGGGTATAAACTAACTTCATCATAAAAGTCTTTATTTTGAAATAGCAACTTTAAGTTTTACATGAGAGGAACAAACTGGCATGTATCAGTGGACCATGAAGTCATTGTTCTGATCCAAATTTCTTCTATATACACAATGAACCAAGACAAACAGTAACAGTTTCATCAAGTATTAAGACATTTTTGGTTTCGAAACATTTGTCAGACATACAATTAATTTAAGCTTATCCCAATAAATTTATTGTGTTGACTAAGGATGAGAATAGACCCTCATATTTAATTTCTTCATTTGACAAAATTCCATCAGCATCTTGAAAATAGGAACATACTGAAGATTAAATTCCATTAAAAATTACATATAGCATAATATTATGAATTAATAGTAGCTGGTACTAAATTTAAAAGCTATTTATTTTATGAGGGTAATGTCATTAGGTCATTCATGAAATTGCATCATGGCTGAAATTTGAATCAGCTTAAACTTTATTTTGAGTAAATGAAACATAATAGTAATGAATAATCCGTTAGCCATTTTTGATGAATTTGACCAATTAATTAATCAAAGCCACTTTTGATAAATTTGATAATCAAATTATGATATCAAACTGTTACAAACAACATAAATGACAGCCATTAACTCATGTTGGTGGATAAGTGTCAGCAGTGTTTAAACCTACATGTACATGTAAGAGTGACAATAATATACATGCATTTGCACTAAATTAAAATCACAAAATTCTACATTTTCATAGCTCATGAAGATTTATTTTGTGAAATTAGAATCACAAAAAAAAGTTGGCAAAAAATTGTATATTGTAATAGTACATGCAAAAGTGGAATTACACATAGGCCATTTCAAAGTAAATGTACAATATTAAAGATTGGGTCAAATAAACTAATATTAGAAGAAGCCTGAGAATGTTCTATAAATGCAGGCAAGTCACAGATAAAAACTTGTGTCAGTCCATCGCATATTTTTTAAATTGTAAATTCCCTGCATAATTCAATCATAAATTGATTGTACGCTGACCAATGTCACTGATGTACATTCATCTTAATTGTTGGTAATATTCATACAAATATTTCCAGTGTCATCGCAGTGTTCATATCCACAATTTTAATAATATATTGTATTCTCTTGTACATGAGACAAAGAAGTTAAGATTAAATTATCTAGAAAGGAGCCCAGGAAAAAATCTTATGTAAGATCTTACTTAAGATCTTACCAAAGCATATTAAGATCTAGCATGCTTAGTCAAGCCTGTTCTTGCCATATTATTAGACAAGAAATTCCAAATTCTTGCTAAGATTATGTAAGTAATCTTACAAGTAATCGTGCGAGAGCAGGCACAATCTTTATAAGATCCACAACTAGATCATTTACATCATTCTGATAATCTTATCTGGTCTTGTCATATCAGGCACTAAAAATTACAAAATAAGCCAAGATCTGGTAATAATGTAAGTACGTTCTGACAAGATCAGGCAATAATCTTTGCATGTTCTGAAAAAATCAGGTAATAATGTAAGCATGTTCAGACAAGGTCATGTAATAATGTAAGAATGTTCTGAAGGAATCAGGTAATAATCCATGCATGTTCCGACAAAATCAGGTAATTATGTAAGCACGTCCTGACAACATCAGGTAATAATCTATGCATGTTCTGACCAGATCAGGTAATAATCTATGCATGTTTTTAGAACATCAGGTAATAATCAATGCATGTTCTGACAATACAAGGTAATTATGTTAGTACGTTCTGACAAGATCGGGTAATAATTTAAGAATGTTCTGTCAAGATCGGGCAATAATGTAAGTTTGTTCTGACAAGATCAGGCAATAATGTAAGCATGTTCAGACAAGGTTATGTAATAATGTAAGAATATTTTGACAAGATCAGGTAATAATCCATGCATGTTCTGACAAAATCAGGTAATAATGTAAGCACAATCTGACAACATCAGGTAATAATCTATACATGTCTGACCCGATCAGGTAATAATGTAAGCACATTCTAACAAAATAAGGCAATAATCTATGCATGTTCTGACAACATCAGGTAATAATCAATGCATGTTCTGACAATATCAGGTAATTATGTTAGCATGTTTTGACATAATCAGGTAGTAATCTATGTACTGTCAGGATTAGGCAATAATGTAAACATGTTCTGACAAGATCAGGTCACAAAATAGGCACAGTCTGTCAAAATCAGCCATAATTAGGTAATAAAACAGTGTATAAGCTGACTATTTACATTAAAGGGTAAGTTCAATGTATTTTTGAGGTATTTTATATATTTGTTTATTATGATTGCCTGACCAAACAAATGATGTGTTCCAACTCTCATTGTCTGAAAAAAATTATTCACTGAGATATGAGACTTCAAAAATGCCTATTTTTCCTTCCTGCCAGGTTACTTCCTGTCAGTGGGTGTGGCTAAACGTGATGTCACTAGAGGCATAGTTGCAGTTAAAATCCATTCCTTTATAAGGGGAAATGATCCTTCATTCTCATGCCTAGTAATGTAATAGCACTAATTTAATGATTAGAATCATTAGCTTTCATTATTCTAAGCATGTAACTGCAAGAAAAAGACTCAAAATAGCAAACAAAATCATTCACCAAAGTGTGGTATTATGACTTTTCCTTGCAGTTCCAGAATAATGAAGGCTAATGATTCTAATCATTAAATTAGTGATAATACATTACTAGGCATGAGACTAAAGGATCATTTCCCCCTATAAAGGAATAGATTTAACTCCAACTAATGCCACTAGTGAAGTCACGTTTAACCTTACCCACTGACAGGAAGTGACATGGCATGGGCATTTTAGAAGGCTCATTTCTCAGTGAATAATTTTTTTCAGATAATGGGAGTTGGAACACATCATTAGTGTGGTCAGGAAATCATATTAAGCCAATAAAAAAATACCTGAAAAATGCATTGAACTTACCCTTTAAGTACAAGATCACCAACAAATCTTACAATAAAACTTTATTGCCTTTACCAATTAATTAATAACAATAAAACTCACATAACAGCGAAATTTGTTCATTATGATAACTGTCACCAGTCAGTTATTTTTTTTTATAATGGATATCCACCTCCTATGAGCTGTTTATGGAACTTGGAAACCGAGGGCGAAGCCCAAGGTTTACATATTCCATAAACACCTCATAGGTGTTTACATATTTATGGAGACGGTTATTACAAGTGGTTAATTAGGCTCAAGCAAATGTACACTGGTGGTATTCCGCTGAATGGCTTCCATGTAGCGGTCTCCATAGCATTTGGACACCTCATTCATATCATGGATGCCTCATTCATATCATTAAGATTAAACAGAATTATTCATGAATTATTTAAAATGCTATTAATAGTTCTGTTTTTGTCCAAACATTTTTGCATACATTTCCTCCTAATGACTCATCCTTATTTTTCTTCGAACTCCTTAATATATATGAAAAAATTTTTCCAGATGCACTCTATGCTCATCAATACAAAATAATTTGACAAGTTATAAAGATAATATATCTTCTAGAAATGTTATTTTATCGGAATTGAGTGAAGGTTTCATTGTTATTTTTGAAGGGCAGTAAAGAAGATGTCCATTAATGACAATGCATATGTAGGTGGTGTCTCTGCTCATATGTGAGTAAATTATCACCCTTATCCTAAAATATGAAAATAACAAATATTTTGTGGTATCTATGAGATCATTTATCAATTGAAAGCTAGGCGTCATACATACCGTAATGTAATTTTTATTTGTAGCATCTGTTGAGGCCTCATCAATTTTATCAGCAACAATAGTATTTTATAAATAAATTTTAAAATTACAGTTGAATTGCTCACACTCATTATCAATTGATGTCACCCACGTGCGATATCAGGAGCCCATAATAAAAGAAGGGGAGTTGGAGTGCGAAATGCCAACGCTTTAATTAGTTTTTTGCTTGCTAACTCTGTCTAGCGGATATACTATTTTTAGAATAGTTATTACAAAAAATTAATTGTAAACCACACCCACCGCATTTTTTTAATGATGGCTCAAAGAACAAGTTCAATAAAAGTAACAGCAATAAAGACAGGAGAGAAAAAGCAAAAGGAAATACCTTAAATGAAACAGGCAACTCAAAAGAAAGGCAAAAAGTTTTTAAAAAAGGCTTTGATAAGTAGCATTGAAAAAGAGATGAAGGCAACAATTAGTGATGTATCAGATACAATTTTAGATTAAGTAAAGAAAAGTGTGTTCCTGCAGTATAAAGAATCTCGAACAAAGTTTGTGGGGCTTTTATGTGCAGACACAGCAAAAGTTGAATTTTGTTTGCTGATAAAGGCTATGGCAGCCAATTATTGGAACCTGCCAAAGTCAAACTCTAGAGAAAAGCTATTTGGTTATTTTTGAGCAGGCCTT